GACATCTGTTGGAGGGACAACACAGCAGGGCATACGAGCAATCCAGAAAGCTCCTGGAATGCGTCGATGATAACTTCCTTCTCCAAGTGACAGAGGAGCCAACGAGGAGAGGTGCTATGCTGGACCTTGTTCTCACCAACAAGGAGAGGCTGGTGGGGAATGTGAAGCTCAAGGGCAGCCTGGGCTGCAGTGACCACGAAATGGTGGACTTCAGGAGAGCAGACTTTGCCTCTTCAGGGACCTGCTTGGTAGAGTGCCGTGGGACAAAGCCCTGGAGGGAAGAGGGGACCAAGAAAGCTGGGTAATATTCAAGGATCACCTCCCTCAAGCTCAAGAGTGATGCATCCTAACAAAGAGGAAGTCCGGCAAAAACACCAGGAGGCCTGCATGGATGAACAAGGAGCTCCTGGACAAACTCAAACACAAAAAGGAAGCCTACAGAGGGTGGAAGCAAGACAGGTAGCCTGGGAGGAATACAGAGAAGTTGTCCAAGCAGCCAGGGATCAGGTTAGGAAAGCTAAAGCCCTGATAGAATTAAATCTGGCCAGGGACATCAAGGGCAACAAGAAAAGATTCTATAGGTACGCTGGGGATAAAAGGAAGATGAGGGAAAATGTGGGCACTCTCTGGAACGAAACAGGAGATCTGGTTACTGGGGACACGGAGAAGGCGGAGGTACTCAATGACTTTTTTGCCTCGGTCTTCACTAGCAAGTGCTCGAGCCTCACCACCCAAGCCACAGAAGGCAAAGGTGGGGACTTAGGCAAAATTTAGTGACTTATCTTTATATTAAAAATACTAACTATAAATTTGATGTATAATGCATCAGAAGAAGGATTCTAAACTAATACAAATTCTACAAGTTCTAAAGAACAACCCATTTGTAAAGTCAAGAAATCATCTTGCACAATGAACGGTTGTATTGACAAAAAGGTCAAAATTTATTTTAGTTTAAACTTAGTTTAATTAAATTAATTAAATTTAGTTAATTTTAATTAATTTAGTTTTAGTTTGAGTTCTCCATAAGCTACTTTGAGATTTGTATATTGAGGTCTAGTGATTATCAGTAAGTATCTTGCAGCCTGAATTCTGAGATTTCATTCTAATAGGCAGTACCGTGTAAAAAGTTTTAAGCCACAGAGAGGTGAAAATTGTAATTTTTTAAAAATTATTTTTAGTTATTGACTTACTTTCAGGAGTCAAAGGTGCCTAAGTTTAGTACACACTGGTTTTCTTTATTATTTAATACTACATGTTGATAAGGTATCTAACTAGTCCTTATTGGTATAATAAAGAAAATGTAATAGACTTTATATATACTTGTCATAGTACATGACAGAATGTTTAAATTCTGCCTGCATGGAATGGCTGGATGCTGTTTGATCTCCGTTTGATTAATTTTAAGATTTTAGAGCATTTCATCTCTTTTGAAGAAATATTTGCCAGGAAGCAGACCTTTACTAAGAATATGTATGTATTATTTATGTATATATATAGAATTAGTACATATTAATATACATATTCTTGAAAATTTCATTGAAAATACTATCATAGTTATGTAAACTGAAAAGATTTCAATATTACTTAATCTTATTTTGGTGAACAAGATTTGTTTTGAGATGTAAGGTAATTAAAATAAAGAATTGTTTTATTAGTTATTGCTCTTTTATATTGCAGTCAGTTGGATAAGACTGATCTTTTCCACTGATAAGATGTTCAACACATTCCCAATATGTCATTTTTGTTAAGCCTGCTTTTCTTTTTTGTGCTTAGTAATTTTAGCTTTAATTCTTGTTTATGTTAATAATTTTATTATTTTTATTAACAGAAAATGATTTTGAAAATGTGAAAGAGTAAAAAGCAAGACAAAGCATAAAACTATCAACTCAAATATAATTCTGAGTTTAAACAACCAATTTTATATTGTAAATTAAAGACTGAAGATCTGTAGTTGAAAAGGTATATAATACTAACACAGTTGCTTTCATGCCCTGTTAAATGTAATAAGTAGTTCTGTTAAATACTGTGCTTGTTTTACAGTGTGTTTTTAAGGTGACTTCAGTTTTACTGCTGGGAAAATCTTTAACGTTCAAAGTGAACTGTTCTATTGGCGAGTTTTTGATGTTCAATATGGGGGGAAAATACTATGATAAAAAAAGTAGCTAAATTCCCTAAGGCAAACTTACTTCATTACCTCATTTATGGATCAGTATGCCAAGTTTAAATAGAAAGATAATTGCTCTGGAGCAATTCAAATGGCAGAAAATCTTTTGGTAGTTGAACTGAACTAATAATTAAAGCTGAGCGACAACAAACTTCAATAGAGTAACAGTAGGAAAAGAAAAAAAAGCCAAGCAAAAAATGTTCTATTTGTTGTACATATTAGTCCTAGTTCTTCTATAAAACTAATAGAAATTGGGCTGTTTCCAATACAAATCTCTGTTTGGTTATCTTTGCAAGACTTTAAACTTGATTTCCCACCTTTACACTTGCCAGCTAAGAAAAGGAGCATTTTGCATCCAATATTTTCAGATTGTTTACTTTGGACTTTATCTTAACAAATTGATTAGAATGCAAGCTGACCATACTGCTGTAAGAAATAACATATATTGTTTGCATATGTATTCAAGCTTCTTTGTATGATATAAAATTACAGTATATTACACTACTGTATTTGCCATACTGAGCTACACATGCATGACTTGGATGCATATTAATGAATGCTGTAAACTATTAACTCTGACATAATACTCAAGTTGGAATGATAAGTAGGGAGTGCTATGTTGCCACTTCTGACCAGCACTATGTGGGAATTTTTAAAGTGTAAATTGCTGTGCCTGCAGGACTTTGGGAAAATCACAGCTCATTAGCTGCTTCTGTTCAAATGTTGGCTTCCCTTGGTACAGAGATCCTAAAAGAACCATGGAAAATGCTTTCAGGAGTCATTGCCTTGCAAAGAAACAAGATAACACCAGTCAGCTGCCTGATAGTATCATGGCATAACAGAAAATAGCTTGTAGGGACTTAATCATCTGGAATAGCAGTATTGGACTGGATTATTTAAAGGAGATATTTCTGTGTCAAATGTTTTGTATTTTTCTGATATATGGTAAGAAAAGTGGGGTTTTTTCTTCCTTACTTACATATATTCTTGAAAGATTGTTATTTCCTTCTACCTCAGTGAATCCTCTTGATCCTCTTGGTTCTAAGATTTGTTTTCCTGAATTGTAGATTAAAATATATCTGGTAGAAATGAAGTTTTAATCTAATAGTAAAGGTAAATTTGAAGGAGAATTTATGTGTATATCTGTGAATTTAATTGATGAGAACACTTTTAATAGATTGAGAAAGTGTTTTAATTTTTGTTTTTAATGTATTATCTGGGAGGAATTTCAACTTCTGTTGTGGTTAATCTATTTTTTTACTTCCTAACATGTTAACTATATGGCATATTTATGAAATGAAATAGTCAATAAAATCATGTCATTAAGTATAATACCATTCGAAAAAGGTACCTTTTTTCTGTAATGAGCTATTAATTATTGCATTCAGCAATTAAAACCCAGTAAGTCTGCTTAAAGACAAGGTACAAGTTAGAATTTGCTAAATTGATGTTCTGGGTATTTACTCATAAAATATATTTTGGTGAAACACACGCTGCTTACATTTCTTTAAAGATTAGTAATTGTCCAATTATGTAATAGCTTGCAATAAAGCCATTTAGAACTGGGAAAGTCAAGTATTTCTGTCATTATGGTTTGCTTAAAGTAAGAACATAGTCTAAATGTGCAGATTTTTTAATTACTACAAAATAAACACTTTAGAAAAATATTTGCACTAACGTTTTTTTGTTGTTGTTCTGCAGTCTCAGTTTGAACTCAGGGTATTCCATATTCGTGGAGAACATGCTCTGTCAACTGCTCAGCTTGAGGAAACCATTGCACATCTGAAGAATGAACTTGATAATAAATTAAACAGAAGAAATGAAAAAGCAAAAGATATTGGTGTTTCTACTGAAGATGATAACCCACCAAAGACATACCGAAATGTATGTATACAGACTGACAGAGAAACTTTCATAAAGCCTAGTGAAGAAGAAAACAGAGCTGTGAAAAATAACCAAATAGTACCCAAAAAGCTTAATATTTCTTCTTTGTCACATACTATTTCTTCCCAAAGTGAAAATAAGGACAATTACAATGTACAGTCTTCAGAAAGTGTCTTATCTTGTCAACCAAAACAAATGTTGCCTCCTCCACCACCACCACCACCTCCTCCTCCCCTTCCTGATTCTTCACTACCAGGTTTAGTTCCTCCACCACCACCTTTGCCAACGGGTCCGACTTCACTGACATCTCAGTTTGGATCTGGTCCACCACTGCCACTTCCACTTTCTGAAGGCTGTAGGAATTTTCAAGCACCACCACCACCGCCACCACCACCGCTTCCAGGGTTGGGACCTCCTGTTCCTCCTCCACTGCCTGGATTTGGGTTACTTCCACCCCCTCCACCTCCTGGGCCTGGATTCTTTTTTAATAGCACTTTATCTTCAAACCAAGGTCCTCGAAAACCTGCCATTGAACCTAGCCGTCCCATGAAGCCTTTGTATTGGACACGGATACAATTACAAGGCAGCAGGTAAAATATATTTATTTGGACTTAGAGTTGCTATTTAGAGGCCATGATATAAGGGTATGTATACTATTTAAGACTTAATAACAAGAAGTTAGCAGTCTAGAAATGTATAAGAAAAGCAGTGTAAAGGCATGCAATTTACATGTTTTAAGAAAAAAATGCAATCTGTTCTAGAAGTCTAAAAACAGATCATAAGAAATTATTTTAAAATATTGAATATAAATTAAAATTATATGCATTATAAAGGAAGATTTTTGCATCATAACAAAAAGAAATTTTGTCATTTTTTTCCCAAAAGTCCAAGTACTCCATGGACAACTCTAGTGACAGGGTGGTTCCTAGACTTAGCACTAAAGAAAAAAGGGAGCCAAGAGATTAGAATTTAGTATTAGAATTGAAATGTTAAAGTTTGGTCAGGTCAGAGAACTTAGAGTTTCATTTTTGCTTTCCAGCCACTTCAGGTGATACCATCTTCAGAGCACTATGTTGTGTCATCTTCTATGATTCCAGTTCTAGAAACAGTTAAACTGGTACCGAACCTCTGTGTATAATTCTGTCAGAGGAGGACAAGTAAAGCATATGTATAAATATATGCAGCTCAGGAACCTGTAGCATGAAGCATCCATTATGGAGGAGTCTCAGTACTGATAGAGACCTCCATAGTTTAAAATAATATAAAAAATAAAAAATTACCAATCTTATTGTGGTTTAGTGCTGGAATAAAATGCTAGATACTCTTGAGGGGAAGGGATGCCATCCAGAGGGACCTTGACAGGCTTGAGGAATGGGCCCATGCAAACCTCATGAGGTTCAACAAAGCCAAGTGCAAGGTACTGCACCCGAGTTGGGGCAATCCCCAATATCAATACAGACTAGAGGATGAAGGGATTGAGAGCAGCCCTGCAGAGAAGGACTTGGGGATACTGGTGGATTAAAAATTGGATGTCAGCCAGCAAAGTGAGCTTGAAGCCCAGGAAGCCAACCATATCCTGGGCTGCACTAAAAGAAGCGTGGCCAGCAGGTCAAGGGAGGTGATTCTCCCCTTCTATTCTGCTTTCGTTGAGACCCCACCTGGAATACTGCATCCAGCTCTGGGACCCCCAGTACAAGAAAGATATGGACCTGTTGGAGCGGGTCCAGAGGAGGGCCATGAAAATGATCAGAGGGCTGGAACACCTCTCCTCTGAAGAAAGGCTGTGAGAATTGGGGTTGTTCAGCCTGGAGAAGAGAAGGCTCGGGGGGGACCTTATTGCGGCCTTTCACTATGTAAAGGGGGCTTATGAGAAAGATGAAGCAAGACTTTACCAGGGCCTGTAGTGACAGGACAAGGGGCAATGGTTTTAAACTGAAAGGAGGTAGATTTATATTGCATATAAGGAAGAAATTTTTTACAACAAGGTTGGTGAGACACTGGAACAGGTTGTCCAGAGAAGCTGTGGATGCCTCATCATTGGAAGTCTTCAAGGTCAGGTTGGATGGGATTTTGAGCAACGTGATCTAGTGAAAGATGTCCCTGCCCGTGGTGGGGGGGTGGGACTAGATGATCTTTAAAGGTCTTTTCCGACCCAAACCATTCTATGATTCTATGAAAGTAGTCTAATAGTATATACTGTTGTAGCAAATCTAAAGTTACTATGAAACATACTGGTTTATTGATTTGTTTATAAGGGATCGTTTGGTGAACAGGCACAAATAAACAATTTTTGGACAGTCTTTTTGAAATGATCCCACAACTTTTGTTTATGCTATCCATTTATTCAGCTGGCAGGAGAAAAGTAGTACTCCCATTTACACTTTCTGGGCCAACATGCATACCTTACTGCCACAGTGGTATGTGGTTTCAGTGCTGCTCAGCTGTTCTTTTGGATTTTGGCTGATTCTAACCTTGCTTCAAGTGTTTATCAATGTAACATAGAGCTCCATTAAAAGAGTTGGCTAAAAAAGTATTTTTTGGGGGATACTTAAGCGACACAAACTATTTCTAGTTTAACAAGGAGTTGCTAGAATCATGAAATAAAATTCAGGTCCTGTGTTACGCAAGTAATGAAATGACATGATTATTCGGATCTTAAAATTCAAATCATTATTATCTATGTTCAAAATTATTTTAGCATAAGTACAGTTATAAAGATACTAAGTTTATTTTAAACATTTTAATAAATTACATTGTATTATTTTATATGGCTTATAGTCATATAGTAATATGTTGTATGATATACACACTATTAAATACTGTATTATATACTGTGACTACATTATATATTACATTATTGTTATGAATTATTATATTACAGATTATTATAGATTACTTATGTTATTGTAAGTCACTATAAATTATTTATTTAAGTATTACAAATTATTTATGATTATTCTTCATCTTTTATTTTAAGTTATTTTTAGGATTATATTTAAACACTTTTAAAGTAAATACCTGCACTTAAATGTATTTAAATATGAGTTTTATTTTCATTTACAACTTTTTGTCTGAATTTATTTTGATGAGAAAGAATCATTATTCTGGTATAAAAGAGCATTGTAAGGTGTTAATATTTCATGTAAAATGTTTGACAGGAAAAAAAGGTTAGTGAAATGTCAGTTGTATTCTTTCAGTGATTCAGAATTAAAGGCATTGAAATATTTTGGAGCAGAAAGTTTGAGCATTTTGATTTTACTTTCCCAAAAGTACTAGTGAAAAATTGTTTCATAGTGAATGTCCATAAATAAACCTTATTGAAATTCTGCCTATTGATTCATTGAAATCAAAATGTTTGTTCTGAAATATTGCTGGTTCATCAAGCTTTTGCTGAATGCAAGATAAGGTCTAAGTCATAGCTTTCTGGTGAACTGCTGATCACCAGATGTAATGGTCCAGCATTTTCATGGTCTGCACTAGAACTGGAAACTTCTTCAAGGGTCTGCTGCTCAGATCAGCAGCTATCCAGGACTTCAAAATTCTTGTTACAGAGCCAGAAAGAATCCTTCATTCTTCAGTGTGGCTGACACTATGGCTAATATCAGGGAGAGTGAAGCTGTGGAGCTGTAAGCATGTCCCATTGACACAGAATATGCTGCATCAGCGGATGCTAATGGAAAAATTAGAGTTCCTTAAACATTCACGATACTAAATGTACAGCTGAGTATTAAGTAGAAAAAATCCTAAATTTGAAAAAAAAAATTAATTTCTTTTGGTTCCCCTTAAATTGGTAGGTGTGTATTGCATATTACGTCTAATAAAAGTATGTTTAGTAACATCAGCCATTTGTATTTTATAGGAGTTTTCATCACTTTTTTTTTTAATTGCAAATAATATCACTGCCTTTTAGTGACATCTGCTGGAAGAAGTGGGCCCACCTTCTACTGATAAATGGACAAGAAGAGCACTCAGAAGTTTTGTCTCACATATTTTCCTGAAGCATTGAAATTTTGAAACAAAGCTCATTCAGAATTGAAATGCCGTGTTTGCAGCACTACATAGTATTTTCCCCAAATCTGGATAAAACTAGAGGATTGTGTAAATAAGTTCCAAAGTGTTCCAAAACTAAATCTGGTCTTGGAAGGCAAAAGAAGAAGGAAAGATAATCCACATTTAAAATTTACAGTTGGTTGAATGGAGCAGAATACTGGTTAGTCTCCCAAAATATAGGCCACATAATTACTCTAGTTTCTCAGAACTGCAACAAGGGTAAATATGAGTCTACAACATCTGCAGCTAACATGAAGTGAATCAAGTCCTATACAAATGACCCCAAATGCTCTTAAAATATGCTTGAATAAAGTTTGTTCACTATTTGTTCATATAGTTTATTTTTATAGGTCTAAATAGATTACTGGGAATTTCTTAAATACTCCTAGTTGAAGTGGCAGAAATTTCTCGAGATGTATTTGCACAAGCTGCAGTTGTAATATTTGGTTGTTGTACAAAAAAATGTACAATACAAATAATGCATTTTGATATTCTAGCAGGCATGGATAATAAATAGGTAAACTTTTTGGTACAGCCTTCTGCAAACCATTTTGACTCCTTACAAGAGCAAGGTATAGGGAAGGAATGCTGTTTGTATAGCAGCAGTGCATGTTGCTTTGAGTTTTAAATCTATTATGGATTTTCATCTATTGTGGTTAGATCTATTATGGTTTTTCATAAATGTTTATTGGAAGTTTTATTATTAACTTTCCTTTTATAGGAAAAATGCTATGCCAACATTATGGGAATCACTAGAAGAACCTGACATACTTGATACTACCGAGTTTGAATATTTATTCTCCAAAGACACCACTCAGGAAAAAAGAAAACCATTATCAGAGACTTATGAAAAAAAAACCAAGGCCAAAAAGGTATTTATTGTTTCTTTGTATTTTCTTTTTTTGTGTCACTGTTTAGTTTTACATTTTATTTATTTTTGAACAAACAGATAACAGATGGGTTTGTAAATCTCATTTTAAAGCAAAATAGGTGGATTGCTGATTCAACTCTTGCTTGAGAATGTGGGGTTACTTTTTACCTCGGAAGATTTCTTGCTTTTGAAAATGAAAGTTCCACATCCCAGTGAGGCAGAAAAAATATCGTATAGGAGAACTGAATGAAAGTTCTAATACGTATCTAAAAGTGCCAATATTTAAGGCCATGTCTGCCCTTGAACTGATTTATAATTAAAGGCTGTCATTAAGTTACCCTAGCAAACCTCTCTCCCATTGAGATTAATTTTATTGGAAAAATAAAGTATAAAGCAAGATAGGACTGTTAGACGTTTTGAATAAGGAATGCCAAAAATCTTTTTTCCGGTATAGCTAAAGAGCTGTGTCAGGAAGGGACAGGACAATCATGTCTTTAATGGCCAAAATTTTCTGCAGTAGCTATGTCATTACCGTAGCACAGATATCGTCTGCCTCTGACATGATCTGTTACAGAGAGATCTTGTACTTGTCAATTACTATGTGCAGATAGGACAAAGAAATGTCATTAGTAGTATTTGCTGCAGGGGAAAGTCTAGGCTGAATAATAATCGATACTGTTTTGCTAAAACAATGTGGTTATATATTAGAAACCCATTTAAATATATACTGTATCGTAAATCTGTTTGAGTTTACCTGCTTGGAACCACAAGAGGGCACTTTGTATGTAAGCTATGCTATCTACCTTTTTCAATTTTATAATACATATAATGTGAAATATACATACATAGATACGTATCAGTGCAATCAGATCTTTCAAACATCTTTAATCATAAACTTCCTATATTGTGTCTTAGCACAGTAGTTAATGAGAAGTGTAAATAAGGCTACAGAATTTATAAAATTCAAACTCATGATGCAAAAAGTGAAAAATGAAAAATGGGGCCAGGATGGGGTCATGCTGGCATTTGTAAATACACCTTAAAGAAATTATTAATTGTTACAGTCCTTTAGATGTTAGATTGAAGTTGGACATGAATATCTCTGTGAAAAATATTTTGACATATTTTACTTGACAAATGCTTCAAGTACATATGGCATGTAGTACTCAGCTGCATCTGTAAATCCCATTACTTCACATTTCTGATGCCCTCTTTGTAAATTTATTTTTACATTTCATTAATTTACCTCTTTCAGAAAGAATTATTTAATAGGAAATACAGGTTTCTAAAGAACTTTGAAGAAGAATGTAACCAATGTAACTTTAATCTAGAAATAATATGCGCAGAGTTACCTTTGTATTTCAAAATCTCAGAAATTAAGTGAATATACCTATTTCTCCAGGTGTATGACAGCCAACCAGGTAGAGAATTAGGCCTGTATTCTGAAAGATGAAATTGCATTATTCTTTTTCCTTGCTGCTTTGTTAACTAACTTATTTGCTACAGCAGCACAATTTTTAATGATCTCTCTTAACTTTATCCAAAATTGAACTGGATAATAGTTACTCTATTCAATATAGGAAATAATGGTATAATAATAATTCCTATTTCTTGTGAGAAGCCAATGTATTTTCTTACAAAGATATCTTCTTTATTTATGTCACTGTTTGAATTATTCTGTTTTGTTATTAAATGTAAGCTTATTATTTTAAGACTAGGGATATATTTACTGAAATTAATGAAATTTTAAAAGTTCCTTTAAAGTACTGTGTGAAAATAAAATAAAAAAATCCCCTAAAAGATAAATTAAGCTTTATATCTATTACTATATCTTTAGTTTGGTAAAACTCATGGGATTATAATCATGGTGTTACAAACCGTGGGAATTGTAGGGGTTTCTGTGAAAATTTCAAAAACTCATGGTCAACAATATTAAACTTTCCGTCATTTGGTCAATTTAAAAATTAAAAATAAATGAGCTTTTAGAATTCAAGTGAAATTTGAATTTAATTGAGTATGGAAGCATTTTTTAATTGTATATCCTGTCTTTCCACCTTTCTCTGTTAAATGACTCATAGTAGCAGCTGAATATTTTTATAGACAGTTGGTCCTTAGATGGTCCTGTGTTTTTCTTTGTCTCTCTGAAAGCCCAGATGTCTGCAGGCTGGCTCCAATGGATCAATCTTGGTGGGATGCAAGTGATACAGTAGTAGAGAGGCGTTTTATTTAGTTACAGGGGGGTTTATTAGTAGATAGTGACAGGAAGCTCCTGTAGATTAATGTAAAACTATCAGTTCTGCTGGCTTCATTTGTGCTTTCTCAAGCTTTTTCTCAGCTCTCAACTTCTCTTGCCTTTTTTCTAACAGTTATATCTATCTACTAGGGTTTTAACAGCAATCTTTTTCTTTGCTTCAGTACAGAAATTTGTGATTGTCTGGTCTTAAGAATGCTACAAGTGTCACAGTGTATGGAATTGCATAGTCTGGTCAAAGATGCTTTCTACAGACATTAAGAAAGACATATGAATCTTATGAGGTTCATCATATATTATAGTTTTTAGTTGATGCTGTGTCATTTTGTATTTCTTTGTAAATTCCTTTCTCATGTTCTATAAAAAAGCCTTCCAGAGCAAGGTATAGGTACAGCGGTAGAATCTGGAGTAGTAGTTTGTGTTTGGAGTAGGTAAGCTATTCTATTTAATGATACATGTTATTGCTGACCTATTCACTGCATTAAATCTCTTCTCTGCACAAACTTTGTCCTGGTTCATACCATCTTATACAAATTAAGTTCAACCTGCTTGATGTTTAGAGAAATGACAGACCAATAGGTGGTGCAGGGTTGCTTATTAAAACATGATTACTTAATACTTTTCTCCTTAAATGAGAATTATATCAGTGCTTCACAATGAAGTTCCTTATGCAATTGGAAGTAAGATTCTATCTTTCAAATTAGAGGGGAATTGTTTCTCATTTAACTGGGTCTTCTTTATAAAACTAAGACAACTTCAACAATGTGGCCTGTGAATTATGACTCTTTACCATCTATTTACATTTCTCTTGCAGTTCCAAATAAAATAATATTATTCAATTTATTCTCAGAATTATTATTTTTGTGAAACCAGTCAGAATAATCTGTATGCTTAGTCTGTAAAATGAATGCTTCTGTGGAAAGCATCACATTAAGCCTATAGAAATTTCACTTTTTTCTATTCTTACCCATTTGTCCACATAGTAGACACCTTATGGTGACACAGATTAAAATATTCACTGTATGCTATGCTTTTGTTGCTTACAGCTGATAGACATCTACCATTTTCAGCCAGAAATATCTAAATCTTTTCCTACATAAATGGAACGGATTGTCTGTTTTCCAGTACCATTTGGCAAGTTATGCTCAGAAGGGAAACTTCTGAGTGTGTGTTTATATTTGTATACACATTTATACTCGCATATATAAAATGTACTTACAATATAATATATAATTTATAAAATAAATATGTATAATATAGAATATATTTATACTCATACATATACTCGGTGTCAAAATAGGAGAATACATTGAGGATTCTGTGGGCATCTATGCTGGGTCTGGTTGCCTCGGTATTTTCACTTATGACCTGGATAATGGAATATTAACTCTGCAGCCACTACCTAGTTGCAAGAGGCTTCAAATGTACTGGAGTAGACCCTTTCAAAAGCTTTCATATATCAGAGATATGGTCTGAAAGATAGGGATAAGCACAAAGCTAATACAGTTAACCACAAGGTTAATACAGTTAAGGGTATTCAGCGACCTAAAAATAAGATGGGGTACAATTGGCTAACTGACTAGGTAATAGTTTAGCAGAAAGGATCTTGGGATTATAATGGCTCACAAGAGGAACATGAATTGTCAAATCGTGGTACTACTAGAAAGGGAAAACAAAACTCTGATAGATCAATAGAAGTATTGCTTGCGAGACAATCTATTCATCATGTCTCAGTTAAGAACTGCATCTAGATTTAGGCACTACAGCCCTTCATTAAAAATGTTTAGTACCTGTAAAGAGTCAAGAAGAGTAAGAATGATGAAAAGTGTAAAAGTAGTCTCTGAGGAAAGAATTGAATTATTATTGTTTAGGAAAGAGAAGGTTGATTGGGACACACAGTAAGTGTCATCAAGTGCATGCAGCTGCTGCAAAGAAGAATTATTAAAAGCTTTCTAAGAGTAAGGAAACCAAAGGAATGCAGAAAAATTTTGGCTAGGAAAATTGTGTTACTGTATTGGGAGATCTTCAAGAAAATTTACTTAGAATGATACACATATCGTTGATACTATCTTGAAGTGCATAAATGCTTTGGATGACATTTTGAGCGCCTTTCCAACATCATGATTCTGTTACTCAATTAAAAGGCATAAAGTCCACTTTCTGTCCATTGTCCTATGAATGGAAACAGCTGGCTACCCTTTTTCCCAGAGTGGAAGCACTTTCATGATTCCCAAATTTGTTGCTTTCATGCCTGCCAGAAAATGGCTTATTAATTGAGTTACACTAGTTTCTAGAGGCTTTCTAGTTATTAGAATCTGAAATGCAGTTATTAAAAAAATAAGGTATTCTAACAAATATGTGGGGAAAAAAAGAAGGGAAGTTAAGAACCTTCCAGCAGCAAGGGTAATATAAATTCTTAAAGGACTGCACAGAGGGTGATTTTATGTATTTTTAGGCATATATTAACTTATTTTGGAAAAATATAGTATATTCACTTGATAGTGATACAATGTAAAAATAATATTGTTTAAATGAAGGTCAGATGTACCTTTCTGGTACACTTATATACTCTTGAAGTTTGTTATGGTAATGCTTATCTGGGCTTAGAAGTTCTACAAAGTGTGTGGCTGCTCATGCTTCTTCGATCATGCACTCCTTTGGAAAATCTAGCAGCTTTGGAAGAACCTGTTGTGTTTTTTCCAACTCTACATCCTCTGAAATATTCAGGAAACCCTTATTCTTATGCATTT